TTTTTTTTTTTAAAAAAAAAAGGACAAAAAAACCCACACCACCAAGGGACCAATAGGACTGCCCATATGCAATCAGAATAAACACTTGCTATTAGACCAGCAGTATAGCAAAGCTTGGTAGACTTTTCTTGGCAGCTTTAGGAAAGCACACACAAGCTAAAAGCAATAGGGTTTTAAAAGCTGATATTAAGAAGTTAAAAGCATTTGCTTGTTGCAGTTTGAAGCTATCAGACCAGTTCAGCTGAAAACAAGACAGACCGGTTCCCCGAGGAAAAAAAACCTGAGGTTTTGCTGATTTGACTATAGACATCGGAGGGAGACAATATCCATTCCTTAGCCCTGGCTCTCTACATCTTACAAAAGGATGGGACAAAAGGGATTAGAGAGTGCACGTACCTTGGCCAAAAAAAGTCATTTAGTTACAGGATATAAACCTCTAACTTTTGTGAGAAAGTAGAACATATAATATTAAAGAGAACAGCTTCTCCCCAGTGTAGAGGTACAAAAAAAATAGCAGCCCAGCCATCCAAAAATCTATCCTTCATTTGTTATGCTCAAATGTCCTGCTCAAAGCCCAGAAGCTGCTAAATACTTCCAAGTTGTGTTTGCTTCCAAAGGGTTTTATAAGCTGAACTGGCAAGTGGGAAAAATAAGGAGAGAACAGAGGAGGGAAAAAAAAAAGCCTGAAAAAGAAAACCTTTGTTTATACATAACTTCAGGGTTTTTCTTTGTCACTTCTGGGGATTAGGTATATGCAACAGGAGTTAAACTTCAGTTACACTTAAATTTTGTGTTAGTTTTGCTAAGGAATGACTCATACATTTCTTTTGCTTAAGAATATCCATCAGGTATTGGACTATTCCCTGCACTTCAATATGCTTACATAAAAGTTTACAAGTTTAAAAGTTTAGCATCAGGAACTGAATGCCTGACCAAGATAAGACAACCTTCAGAATATATAAAAAATAACTTCCTAACATCATAATAAACTGACATCTTGGTGCAGAATTACATCTACTATTAAGTGATAGAGTTCTATCTCCTTTTCCCTCTTTGTCATTATGACTAACCAAAACTAAGAGTGACCCAGAAACTGTGATTTAAATCTAGCATTTGTATGTGTAACGTCAGATCAGTTCTTATGTGGGAGTAGTGATACTCTGCATTAGAAATTTAACGCCAGTGTCTTGCACCTACACCTACATGAACATTTAAAAGAAAACTGCACAATTTAGGTTAAGCATTGCTATGGACTGTGTGGACCTGGCACTGAATCCCTACAGCTTCTTAGAAAAGCACCACCCCACCCCCCCAAAAAAAAGGAAGGTTATGTGGTAAATTAACTTCCTCCCTTCATCTTTATCAGCTTTGAAACAGTATGAGAAGCAGACCTATTTGTGATGCTCCATGTTAAAAGAACAATTACTTTGAGACTGACACCTACCCTCTGTGACTGACTAGATGTATTTATGGTATTAAATATTGCCTTTCAAGTCATTAAGGCAAGTCCAAATTAAAAGGCCCTCTGCTCCCCGTATCAGGTCACAGCAATTCCAGTGACAAGCTGAATGGAAGAGAATGGGAGGCAGCTCTTTCTCCAATGAGGAAGAAGTTACCTAGATTTTCAATTTCCTTAAAAAGTGGTTTTTGTTTAAGCTCTATTAGTTTACGAGCTTTGGAAGTTAAGGCTTTCCAACTCCATTATTACTTTTTTTTTTGGTGCAGGTGTTTCAGAGTCCTTTGAGCATGAGTACCCAAATAGGAAGTTTTGATGGTAAGTTTCATATTTGCTGGCAAAACACACAGGTCAAAAATATCTGTTTGCTTACAGAATCTTACAACAACAACAAAATATGTCACAGCTCAATAAAGGCATTTCAAGTCACATCTAGAGTGTCAATAATAAGTAAATGGACATTAAAGGAACTTATTTCTACTAAATCACTTTTGTTTTAAATATCTTTATACAGTTAACACTCAAAACCTGTATTTCACAATTGAAGAAGCTGTATTTCAGGCTAGTGTTCACCAAAAGCCTAACAGGGCAAACTCACTAAATCAGAAACATGAACCACAGCCCCAGAATTACTTCAGACTGTACACAAAGAAAGCACAGCCATTCTCATTTGTGCAGAAAATCAAGCATCTTAACTAAGAGGCTACAGATCAAGAAATCATTAGCAGGTGATCATCTAAGAACACCAAAAAGACTGGAACTTGAAATGCTTTAAACACTTAGTAGGAAACAAAAAACAAGGCCACCTAGAATGAGACAAACGGAAAAGCACAACTAAAGATTGCATCAGGCAAAGTCATAATTGTGAAAAGGAAGGAGAGATGATGTGGATAAACAACTGAACATGAGACAGTGCAAAACCATGACAAAACAGGGACAGTGTAATCTTTGGATGTGTTAGCCAGAGTCATGAAATAGGTTACATTCCTGCACTTAACTTCTTTACCTGTCTCACGACAGGATATTGTAAAAATCTGCATGCAATTCTGAAACACATAGCTTAAGCAGAAATACGGAAAGGGAATAGGAAAGCACTATAAGTCATCAGTGCTCAATCATTTTAATCAGTCAAACAATAGAAAACCAAGTCAGAGGTATTTGCAGTAAAAAATGAACACAATTCTAACTGGGCGACAGCTATCAGAAAAAACAACTGGTCATTATGGGATTCACCATTTCTTCATTTTATAAAATCAAGACTAGAGTACTTTTTCGGAGACCTGTATCAGTCAAACAATGGAAGCAGAATGGCACTTAAAGTCTATGCTAAAGTAAAAACAATGCAAAATGAATACTGGCTCCTCACCTACAAAATCACATTGTTGGAAGTAACCTTTAAGCTTTTCTTTTTTTTTTTTTAGTAAAATGCTAACACATGAGTAGAAGATTGACCTGAACTCAGCTACTCTCGTTATCTTACTAGATGATAAATGATTCATATGCAATGCTTACTGTACTTATCTAAGTATTTCTGATGTACTGATCACAGCATTATCTAAGTATTATGTGATTAAAGGACATGGTTGCTTTATCTTTTAATAAATTCAATGACTGCTGCACTAGAGGAAAAACATTCAAAGCGAAAATTCTTTATGCAAGCTACATTAAATTTATTTGTATATTCCATATATGAGATTATGAAAAATATGCAAGTAGTTGAGAAATCATGGGGAAAAGGAGGCTTTGACACAATAGAGTAAAATCATCACCTTGAAGGAAAGATTTCAGAGGGAAGACAAACACTAGCACTACCAGTTTAAAAAAAAAGTAAACTAGAGAGTAGCTTGTTTGTAAGTTTGGAGTCACCACCAAGAAAACCTTTGCAGATAGGCACAGCAGAATTCAGATAAGGCATCATGATTTCTCAAAGCCAAGAAGATACACAAGAACAGTAATTTTGAGTTCTCTAATCAAGGGAGCAGTGAGTTCATGGGACAGTGAAAGTTCCAAAAAGAACTGAAAGCATAAGAAACAACACAGAGGCCAAAGGATGCATCTTCAGGTCTTACAGTGACTTGGTAGCAGTACATAACATTTCTGGTTTCAAGATTTACATAAAGGGAACAAGAGTTTCACAACAAGTCCTCCAATATTGGTCACAGCAGAAGAATAAGCACAGAAAATAATGGTTGCTGGAATCAAAATGTGTGCTTTTTTTGGGACAGAGGATATTTTCAAATTTCATCTATTAATTGGTAAAAATTACCAACCAGAAGACAAAAAAAATACAGAAGTCAGTTTAAGAGTATTGCCTGTAGCACGGTGCTCATAGAGAAGTAACTATTCACAGCTTACAAGTATGCCCGTAAGATAGATTTAAAGCCTTTGCTTATAAAGGAGGCACATTCTGCAATATAGCATTATCCCACTTTGCAAAGCAGTGCCTTGTATTCACAGTAGGTTAATAAGAAAGTGGAGGAAGAAAAAAAAACCACAAAGTACAAAAAGTAACCAGTATCAAGTTATACATTTAATGCCATCACATGTTACCTGGATTTCTAGTTCAGCAATATGCTGTTGGAGTTCAGCCACAGCTGCAATGCGGTCTGCCTCACGGAGCCGTACTGCCATCACTTCTTCTTTACTCTGAAAGAAGTAATAGATTGAAGCTAACAAATCATAGCAGTTTCAGGTGATTAAAGACTGCTTTTTTCCCCAAAATCATGTAAGTGGAGAAAACTTAATACACTGCTGTGTGAACTATCATACCTATTGATGAGGCATATTCTAAAGAACTAAAATTTAACTTTAACCCATACAGTTCTGTAATCATCTAATGTCAATTCTAAACTATAGTCATCTATCAAAAAAATCTGTGTAGTTTTGAAAATATGCTGTTATCAATTTCCAGGTGCAGAAAACAGTATCATAAAAAAAACAGCTTATGCTTCGACTTTTGACTTTTTATATAAAGAAACAGCAAAGCTGCACAAGAGTTACTTATTTCATCATTCTTTGTCTAAAAAAACCCAAATTTAAAAAAAAAAAAAACAAACAGAAAAGCACAGATATTCTCGACCTCATTTAAGTTCAGCTATCTTAGTCACAGTATACAAAGATTTGCAAGACACTTTAGAATAAAATTCTAATGCCTATAACCTACGATCAGACTCCCGGCGTAAATTTAACCTGTAAGTTTGCCTATAAGTGATAGACAATTTGAGTTTGAACAAGAGAAGGAAATTTCCTTATTTCTGTTTTATGAGATAAGTCCTCAAGACTTCAGCGCACAAACCAATATTATATTGTCAGCAGCTTGGTACAACCACAGAGAGAAAACAGTGATAGATATTGAGTGAGTAATACTTTTAGCTGGAGTGCAAATAATTCTGGGGAAGAGACAGACTAGGCTGAGGTACACGTACACTTATGGCAGACTGGTGTAACTCTGCAAACTGTAGTTACTGTAAATCAGTTCCAGTATTTCAGTTATTTTAAATGTGTCCTTCAAACTGACAGTACTTAACCACCCTTCATTAGACTGTTTGGTTGAGACTGAATTGAACATGCCAAAGCTTCTCTATAGTAGCTACTTCAAAACATGCTGTTTGTTCAAAGAAGAGATTCCTGTAATGAAGGTGCATCATCTACAGCACACAATTAACAACATTTGTAATCAGTGCAGTTATTTCAGAGGAATCCATCATGTGCCAGCCAAAGTTTAGCCATTACTGCTAAATTCTGCTGCACGATTGCTTGAATGAAGTCAAACCCACAAGTCCACAGGATTGTATGTACTTAACTGAAAGCTAAAGGACAGACTGGCTGAGTTTGACTTTGGTATCCGAGATGAGTCAATAGTGTTGCTCTAGATGGCACTTACGCTTTATCTCTCAAGCAGAGCATGTTCTCAATAATTACCACAAAAGTTGATACGGTAGGAAAGACAAGACTGGGCTGGGGGCACAAATCTTATTCTGTAAGTTCTTTAGGAAAACTGATTAGAAAGATCAGTGCTGTGTTTCAAGAAACAATTTGAAATTAAGCCCTTGCTGTAGAAGCAGTAGTCAGATAAAAAGGGAAAAAACCTAGCAGTACACACTAGTGACAGAAAACAGTTGCCGTATAGGTGCAATTCAAGCTACCTGCTATTATTTGCATTTCAAGCCAAATCTAAGGTTGTAGCAACCTGTTTAGTAAAGTTACAGATACTGAACCTACTTCTAGAAGGATGGTTGGTATGACCAGTCTGCTGTTACTCCTGGAGGCTAGCCCTTCACACAGGCCTTACCTAGTAGCCATAGGATGTGCTGATTTCTTGTACACCTAGTTAGTATTAAAATAAAGGTAGTAACGTTGCAAGGTTTTGGCTTGACAAGCATAACAGTGTTGCTCTTCCTACTTTAAATTTCAGCTTTTATTTTTTGTTTCAATTCACTTTAATATTAAAATCTCATTTTCCTCACACAGTGGAATAACCTTAAACAATTCCAAGCAGGGATTTCCTTCAGTTATTGCAGCACAGAGGTGGGGAGACAGGAACCTAAAATAGTCTTTTCTATAACATGAAAAAAGTGAAAGCATTTAGCATGAATCTTAGATTAAGCTAAAAATCATACTTCCAGTAGTTTGAATGTGGAGAGCAAGGGACAAGAAAGAATGACAATCCTTACAAATCAACTGTCAAAGGACAATGGCTTTTTATATCCTCTCATTTTTCACTTAACTATGTATTATCATACAGTTAGAGTTTGAAACAGTAATAAATTTCTCTAAATTTCGCTAATTTCTCTAAACCTGTGTTAGAACATAACTTTCCAAGCAAATTATCCCAGTGAGAATAGTCATGTATATTAACTTATTAGTCAGGTTAAAAACATATTACTCTTTTTACAGTCAACATAAAAGCTTCAGAATATTGACTACACCCTCTCAATCTCTTAAGGATTAATGAGGACTTTCAGTATCAGATAGCAATCAAACAAAAAAGTTATGGGTCATATGTGAAGATATGTCACCAAGATTGTGAATATTAAAAAAAAACACAATAGGAATAATCTCAGCATTAAAAAAAAGCACTTAGGAAACCAGTGATTATGGTAAACATAACAGTCAGTAAAAGCAATTTCTTCTAGTTAAGATTCAGTGTCTTGTTTTCTAAAAGTTTGTAATGGAGTTTGATGAGTCAGTAGAAGTTACATCTTCACTTAGATTCAGGTTCCATTGGAAACAAATGGAACTGGCAAGACAGCAAGAAAAATGAAAACCTAAAAAAACCTGAAATACTTGGAGTACATCTCAGTTATTTACTGTTCTTAAATTTCTTTAAAATGGAAATGAACAACAAGAAAAATCAGCTTCATTTTGCTGAAAGGACTACAACTAAGGCAAAACTAGCAAGAAATTGCCAATTACAAATTACACACTACAAGTTTGAGTAATGAACACAAGATCAGAATTTACTACACAACTAAATTGCCTAGATTTATACATTACAACTTGGAGAAAAGAAGTTAGAAGAAGAAAGGAAAACATGTAAAAACTGAGCAGTGTGATATTATTGCAAAACTATGCATATTAATAAGGATGTCATTCCATCTCCAGGCTAAGTGACAATGATAAAGCACTCAAACTACACTCTTGATTCACATTGTCCACAGAAGCCTTTGATGGAATTACAGCTAATGCTGTCTTTGGGGTACATATGTTGTTACAAGCAAAATGCATGTATATTGGATAAAACTGAAAAACAGACACTCAATCAATAACAGTGTTCTGCATGAATGAGAATAGAAACAAGTAGTTCACATAAAAAAAGTTGAGTTACATTAAAGGCAAAACTAAGATTTGATCATGAACAAATTATATAACAGCATCTGCTCTCAAGTTGGCAGTTCACCACCACAGTTTAATAAACAGTATTCTGGTTATTCATCTCATATTACAGTACTATTTTTAACATACTAATAAGCATCTATTTAGAAATACTGAGTGTTCAGCACTAGCTGATTTCATAAAAGGTGCTTCATACATCTTTTGGAAATAAGATTTAAGTAAAAAGTTGGTTTTATGTCTCCAGCAAATAATAACTGTAGTGATTTGCCAACTAATATGGCCCTTTTTTGAAGTACCTATCAGTAGCAATTTCAGGAAAATTTTCATCCAAGTTAAGAGAAAAAAGCTTCTAAAACTTATCCTTTATTTCTTGTCCATATTATGTGTGCACAAGTTAAAGACATAAGTTATTAGCAAATGCTTATGGATTTAGTTACAAAATCAGCTAATTAAATCTGAGATACAAATATCATATAGGGCTCTCTTTTGTGCTTTGACAGTAGTAAAAACAACTCTTTTGCCCAGTGTTTTTGGGTTGTCCCCTTAAAGTCTGGTTACAGTTAGGCACTGTAACACTCCCTTCTGTAGACCTCTCCATTCAAATACTACTTTTACCCCCTTTTTTTAGCCTAAATTAATTCTGCGGTAATAGTGTTGAAGTAATGAACCTCTTCTGTCACTAAAGACAGAGTACACAGTCAGTCTGTCGTGCAAGAGTCTTTTTTTATATATTATACACAGACACTTTTCTTAGTAGAACCACACTTTAAAGTAAAAGTTTATCTCTGTGGCACCACAAAGAAGCAGCTCTGTCAAAACCTCAAGTGATTTTTGTGAGATGGTAAATTCAAGATGATATTGTCAAATCAGTAAAAGAAAATTTTGGTTTTGTGATTTCTACCTCTCAATTAAGACACAATTCTATCCAACAATAGTGGACAAGGCTAAAAAGTACATACACATTAGCACACAAATAGTTTGTTCACTATGTTTACCTTGCATTCAATCTCTGCCTGTTTACGTTTTGCTTCATTCAACTGAGCAAGAAGTCCTTTGTTCTGTGCAGAAAGATACTGTACCTTCCCCTGTAGGTTGGTAACCTCTTGCTCTGCCCTTCGTAAATGGTTACTATTAATCTGATTCTGAAATTTATCACAAAAAAAAGAGGAAAGAAAATGCACATTAAGGAAAAGATCTTTGGTATTCATTTAACTCTCTGAAGTTTGACATGAAAGACTTGTAGATCATTTACTATAAGACACTTGTGATGAAATAGCATTCAGAATTTAAGTGTAATCAGAAAAGTTTGCATGACATTTGGTTTATGACCAGGATATTCAAATTGCTCCTAAACAACAGATGACTCATTGTAAGAACATTATCGCAAAGCTCCTGTACATCTGTTTTTCCCAATCTCTTGCTTAGGTAAGGCAAAGATTTTGTGAACTTGTGTCCCAACTACAGCAACAAGGAACATCAGGTATGTCAGAAATATTATATGCACATTTCTCTGTCCAGGAATTCCTGAAAGTAACATGGAACCTTAATATCAATGTTTTAGTACAAGTCACACCATTTTTATATGAAGCTGTGCATAGACCAGCACTAACATGAGAACCAATGCATTTCTGTCAAATGATAGCTAAACAGCATAAGCATATACAAAGACTCGATGCATAACACTGAAGTGAGAAGTGCCTAAAGGTCTTACGACTTTCATACATGTAAACCAGACAGCAGGATACCTATGCCCCCTACTGACTAAAATAAATACAGAGATATGGAAAAAGCAACAAAACAAAAGCACACATTAACTGTACTGAAACAATATTAACACTTCAATGAAAATTTTAAAAGGTAAGGCAACAGGAAACTCTTACTCAGTTGATATAGAAAAAGTGGTGCCTCTGTCGGAAATAAGCCACCACGTGCCTTGCAGTTAGCTCATCTCTCTTCAGTAGCACATCCTTACATGCTCTCCTGGTTTCTGGGATTGCTGAAGCTTGTCAAGTAAAGTGTGTGTTTGTTTAGCCTTTTGGATGCACACGTCTCCTTCAAGTAACAGTTACATTTAGCAGGTATTTCATGGGAATATTTCTCAAAAGCCTCTTATAAATCCTTCTCAATCAACAGCACATTGTGTTTATTGATTCAGCTGAAAGTTCACTAATATAGTATGAACTCACCAACTTTAGTGCACTTCCATTTCAGATTTGTTTGCTTAATAACAACTTATTCCCTGGTTACACAAAAAAGATCTTGGCAGGCAAGTTATTTTTGTCTTTTCTGCACAATCTCAGCAATGGCAATTCATGCTTTTCTTCTCTAGCACACAAAAGGTAAAGCTTCTGCTAAAAAACCTGACAACACGCAGCTGTTTTGCCCAGAGTCCACAGTTTAGTAACCAGATTCATGACCTCAGTAGATAATCTAGTAGAGGCAATTCCACCAGAAAAAAAAAAAAGCACTCCCATTTAAAGAATTAGAATTACTATTATCAGAATCATCAATTAGGTTTATGAATTTAAAACACCTTAAACATACTTTTGTTGTTACACCAGCTACAATTTAATGAATTAAGATTCATACATATTCACAGAGTCTACCAATGAGTCCAAATGAGAAATTCAGAAAGCTTAGTCCTGGAAAAGACTAAAGAAGAGACATTAAAGTAAGTTGGACTGTATGCACTCCCTCCTAGTCCAACAGCATTAAAAAAAGCACATTTTGGAACTAAAGGCATGCCTGCAAATAGTAAAGATAATCATCAGACATCTACCATTTGACACCAATTTGCCAGTATTCAGCTCAATTGAGACATACTAGTGTTCAGTAACATACCTGGGTTTCTATCTCCATCATTCTTTGTTTGGTCTCTTTCAGTTCAGCCTGAGTTTCTGCTTCTCTCAATCGGACTGTCATCAGCTCATCTTGTAGTTCATTCACTGTGTTTTTTCTAGGAGGATCTTTCCATCTTCCAGTGGTACGAGCTAGATGACGCTAAAAAAAAAATAGCACACCATTGCTGATAATGCCTGATCTTTCCTGGTGTTCCCTTATTTCATTTAAGGTCTCTGAGTTACATGGGGACAAGTTGCTACTATTTTCCTAAAAACTAGAAACCCATGGAAACTTACTAGTTTTAAGAACAGACAATAAAGAGGCTGAAGACAGTCATTCCCAACTACAGCAAATCAGTGAGTTGCAAGCATATCCTGAGACTTTTGCCTATTTCTAGCCCTTATTAACATCTAGTGAAGTAGGAGTACTGATCAGGTACTTACTTTCTACCAGAACAGTTAGCTGGTAGCACAGGCTCTCTGCCACCTGTAACAACTAGGGACTAATTTCTAACACACTTTTGAAGTAAAGTTTCTTGTGGCAGCTGCATTTAAAGATTTTCTCACCTCAGCAGCTTGATCCACAATCACTAGGTTTCTACTTGATCTCTGCATCTCCAAATTTCGTAGTCATTTGCTTTATCATCACTCACTGAAAATAAAAATTGTTAAAAGTGTATTGCTACCCATACCTGCCAGTGTTCCTCCAAATCTTTGACTTGCTGCCTTAGTTCTTTGAGGCCCATCAAAGCTTCTGCTTCTCTTAATTTTACTGCAATCAGTTCTTCTTGTAGTCTGGCAACATTTTCCTCATCAGGCAGAGAGCTGTTCCTCTGGAACAAGGACCATCCTCTTAAATATGCATTTGAATAAAATTGTGCTTAGTGAGACGACCCACTCCAAGAATATAGACATGGAATGATAACTCTTATTACTAACCAAATTTTCTTAATTACACATCTCTCACAAAAAAAAAAAATATCTAAGTTCCTGGATATAGCAAGTGTGTATAAATATCTTCCAACTGCCAACTACAAAAAATAATTGACAAAGTAGTTTTAGGTATTCTGACTTCCAGATTTCCCCAGATGGTATCCCTCACAAAGCATTACTTACACTATTTTGCACACATCATCAAAAATATGGAGAGAAATCCAAAAGATTTTGAGCTAGTTGATAAAAGTAAAGCACATGAGGAATTGAAATTATACCTTAAGAGTTAAATTCTATTTAGACTTACAGGAGAAAAAAAAAAATGGAAGTTTATTTTTTGGGAAGTAGGCCATCTGACTTTGAAAAGGAGAAAAGATACATTAAAGGAACCATCCATGAATATTTATAAACAACAACCAGTCAATAAAATGTCTTATAGATGAAAGTGCATGGATGTTTACAAAAACACATAAGGAAAGAGTAGAAAGACTAGAGAAAGTTAAAGTGAAAACAGGAAGACACATGGCAGGAGTGACCTGGGGAAAGTAAAACAGTGATGAAAGCATAATAATGGAAGTCTGGGAAAAAAAGAGGGGAAGAAAAAGGACATAGTCTGTCTAACTACAATATCCCTATATCAAACCATTGGTCACCAAATGCTCAAAGTTGAGCTGTGCTTCATCACTTTGTACTGTATTTCTGAGTAGTAATTTTCAGCAAAATTAAGTATTTTTCTAGATATCTAATACTGTGACAGTTGCCAGGTTTTCTTGAGAGTCGAGAGTAAAGTACATTATTAACATTAACAGAACACAGCACAGCAGCCATTTATTAGTGCCTCTGTGTTTCAAAATCATGGGATCTGAGTATTGGCAAATATAGGAAGTGACAAGGTGTGCTTCTGAATGTTTACATCACTGTCAGTATAGCCATGCAAGTCTTGGGTTATTGAACAGAATTTTCCCAGATTACATGACACATCACTAACAGCAGTAAAGAGCTGTATTTGTAGGAACGTGAGGGAGTAAACGTCAGTCACTTTCTCATGTACCTAAGTTCATTATGACAGACTGAAATACTAGTATACATCTGAGTGTGTCTGGTACACTGACATTTCCCCCACTGCTCCAGTTTTTCCTCACATTTAACTTTTCAGTGTATGCTATCTTCACGCTGATGAAGGTTAAGTAAAGTAGTCTCATCTTGAACTTTGAAAAACACCTTAGACCCTGAATTCTTACCAATGTTGAGTACAGTAAAAACTACCACACTACTAGCCTGTCAGACTCCCATCAAGCCCCTCCAGAAAATTAAAAAAGTAAAATCTTGATTCCAGTGGGTTAATCTAATTAGCTAGCAAGTTCTGGCCACATTCCTGAGTATACAGCTCTTAAATTGCCACGAGAAAACAATTTCCAAAGCCAATACAACAGGATCTGAAAAATGTGCTTTATGTTAGGTCAATTAGTGGGTTTTTTCTTTCCTTTTTTTCTATTTTATTTTGCAGTTAAGTTTCTTGTCAAAGAAAGGGTTTGACGGTTTGAGTACAGCTTGAACTCTGGCATCAGTAAGTTACAAGCTAGGATGGCACCCAAAAAGCAGTACAGATTTTGATACTAAACAGTGGAAGTATTTTTTCCCTTGCCCATAATGGGACAAAGTGGGAGACACTCAAGAACTCAAGACCTGGGAACAGTAATGTTGAACTATTTCCTCCTCCCCTCCCAGGCTATTTAGTTTCACATCACCTGAATGCTCACCCTAAGCCTGCTGCTCTTGTTGCAGGATATAACTTCGAAACAATTGATGTTTACTGTAAAGACTCCATGACAATCCAAGTTTCCCACTGCAGTGAGCTTCGGGAGTAGGAGAAAAAATGATCTGTTCTTCACAAGCCTTTCCCATTGCAAACAGATTTTAGTGTTTTTGTTTGGTTTTGGTTTCGTTTTGGGTTTTTTTTTTGCTATATTAACTTCAGGTTTGAAAAGAATCTTAAAGTCATGAAAACAAAGAAGAGAAGATTCTAGAGCACAGTTATGCAAAGAGTTACAGGGACTTGTATTCTGTCTCTAGTGCTATTTTATACAGAGGGTCCTGGTTTGATTTACCTTTTCCATCTCTAGAACTTTATCTTGCATCTCCTTCAGGGCACAATGGGATTCTGCTTCACTCAGTCTGGCTTGGACCAGCTCTTTTTCCAGCTGTAGCACAAAGTCTTCACTGTATCGTGAACTGCATTTATGCTACAAAGTTTGCAGAAATATGTTTAGTATGAAGCACAGATGGTTTGAAAGGGGTTTTATATGCCAGATTTGGAGTGAAAAGTACATTCAAATGCTTAACATTAGGAAATACTAGCTTAAGATGAACAGAAGTGCTTACGTTATACAAGTTTATTAACATGTCTGTCCAGACAGCTAATAATAAGAACCCTAATGCTATGCCTCTCAAACAACTGCCCTCCACACAGCCAAGTGTCTAAGACCAAACCGAGACCCTTATTAGTACTGATGAGCAACAACTCACACTTTTCTCTCATTGTTACCCAAACTGGAAAAATTCTCAAAGGATCTGTGATGATTTTGTGATATGCAGAAAAAGATGCCTAGGAAAAACTAGCTAGTTACAAGGTTAATACAAGTATCTCTCTTGATCCCTACTCACTTGAACTCTGATTCAACAGAAGCCTTCCATAATCTTGGATTTAAAATAAAGCCATGTATGCTCTAAGGCACAATCACTTTGATTTGTCCCCTTCCTCCACTCCAGTCCTTGGCTCTCATTTGCTCACACTATATATATATTCCTTCTGAGATTCTCTTCTAGGGCAAGCCCTGTGGATTTATGAGAAAAATCCAGGCACAAGGAGCAGTACAGCCCCTTCTAGACAGGCAGCATAGGCCCAAGCTACGAAGAAATTTGGTTCTTTCCATACAGGACTTAGTTCAAGACTATCCTCAGCCAGCTTTGCACACCCAAACACATTTCCTCAGTAACAAAACTGCAGTTCGGAACTTAAGGTCACCCCTTTCCAACTTCAGGGGGAAGGGAAAAAAACCACAGTTCTGCTCAAGGAAGTTAATTCACCACTAACTTATTTCATGACTGCTGATTAGCTGCAATTAAAAGTAAGATCTATCCTTTTCACTTGCTAAAGCACAATTTCATGAAACTGCATCTTTCAACAGATCCATTGGATGTGAGTCGTACTAAGCATTTGTATTCAAAAGCCCCACTTAACTTTTTCCTCTAGTCAAGAGTTACAAAATACATTTTCTTCCTTTCTTGGGTCACATTAACATGACTTGAGATTCACCACAGATTGTCCAACTTGCTTAACAGGCCATGCCATCCTACATCAGCATTTAAATTTCTGATTTAGAAAAAAAAAAAAAAGGGTGTTGAAGTCCCCAAAGCATAGTTGCCTAGTTACTGTGTATGCATAGGTTCATAGCTACTCTGAAAATTAAGTTTAAAGGGAAACCATTTTATACATCTTTGGTGCCATGAACTCCATTGTGAAGAATAAATACTATACTTGGATTCATAGATGGAAGTTTTAGTCAATTAACAACGCAACTTTAAAATCCATAGAGTATTCATTATACTAAAGATACAACTATGTCTTTTTTTAATGTTTGCAAACAATTTAGTTTTCTGCATCTAAAAACAGTTGACAAAATTAACAGAAGAGTCTTCAGTTCCACATGCTTCTGTTAGGGTACGATATTTCCTGACCTTTAATGCACAAAGCAAAGGCAAACAGGACAAAACAAGGATTTACAACATGTAACTACAAGGTCAAAGAAATGGTTTTTCATTTATTTTTATACTTCCGCACACCAACTAAGCTTTTCGTCATGACTTACAGTACAATCCAAATTCAAAAATCTACACTAATCTTAGTATTAGAATTTATTGTATTTATGTGTATGTCTAACAGGGAGCTATAACAGAGTGGATATATACAAAGCATTAAAAGGCAAATATAGCTCATGCAAGCAGTCTTTAGCATCACTGAGACTATCCATTTAAGCACTTGTCCTACTTAATTGTGCAGCTGAACACACATGGAACGCTTATGTACAAAGATCATAGTGTATTTAATATTAATTTTCCCTTATACAATACTAATTTAATTGATATTATGTTCAACCGATATAGTGTCTTTGCCTTAGCAAGCAGTGGAGGTAGCCCCAGTTCAAGTGTAAGGACAGGATGAACGGACAATGCTGATGCATTTCTACAATTGCTTCACACAACATGGGAGTGTGAGTAGCATACGTAACAACATGCAGACAGAGAATAGGCAAAAGCTCTTTTTTATTCCCTGGCTGTTTGTACAAGTTCAGATGATGCACACAGCAACTTAAATGGACTCTATGTTTCTTGTCCCAGATTCTGCTTATGATACATATAGAACAAGAATGAATGCAGTGTTCTTTCCTCAGGCAAGAAGCCCTCTTGTACCTTCCAGGAAACAGGGAAAACAGCAGATTTGAAGAGCTGCATATATACTGATTTTGCAACAATAAGTAAGATGAGACTAAATAGCTTTGGACTACAAAAAAAATGTAACCGATGTTTGTCAAAGAATAAGTAATAGAGAGTGTAAGAAAAGTTACTTATCCAGGTTCAGGCACAAGTCATGCCTTCTTTAAATCTGTTTTTGGATTTTGCCTGGCTAAGGAATACGTTAGAAGTACTTATCTACTTAGCCATAACCAACATTAAATCAAGTCTTGATAGACTGGCAAAAAAACCACAGTCCAGATCAGAACAGATTTAAAAAACAATAGTCACAAGTTCAAAGTTATGATTTTTGCTCCTTAAAAAAAAAACCACACACTTTACTGGTTCAGTAAATAACAGTAACACAAGTTTATAGTCAAAACAATGTTTGAAAACTACTTTAAGACTGACATCTTTAGCAAAAAAACTGCTTTTAGATATTTGCCTTAAGCCCTAGAATGTGATGAAAACCATAATGTGAATCCAGATTTCCAGGCACCAGCCAAACATTTCAACCACAGTAACACTGTTTTTCTTGGCTGTGTTGAAAAGATGTCTGTAAGAAAGCACTAAAAATGTAGTTCCACAGCCATTTACTTCTGAAAGAAACAAGTCCTTGCTTGGCTTCACACAACCAGATTTATTTTCCCCAAACTTTTCTTAAAAATCTCAGAAATAGTAAAATCTCAGAGACTGACACAACCATTCCTAATATTATTTTGGCCGATGACAGATTATTACATATAATTACAGAATCATTTTCCAGTACTCTATACTGAAGGGCAACTAACAGATTGTTCAGCAGCCACCCAGCTAACTTTGTTTACACATTTAAGTACTAACTATAGTACTTGACTAAATACAGTATTTTTATTTTCTGCTGTTTGGTTGCAAATCAGAACATAACATAAATAAGTATATTGTAAAATAAAGCAAAGTCTTCCATAAGGTTGCAACACACATTTACAAGCATATATTCCCTATATCAATTATTATGCTCTTCGTTATTATCAGTCATTTTAGCATGTGTTCCTGAAAAGAAACTATGTAATTATGGAGTTGCTGTAACAATAACCAAATACAGGGCTATAAATTACCTTGCAAAATGCACATGCTTTGATCTGAACAGTTTAGTCAATTAAAATTCTATCTTCACATAATACACTTGAAAAGCCTATTTAAAAATAAGATGTAAAGCAATTTCAGATTGAACTGCCTCTCATTTCTCAGATTCAGTCTTCAGGCATTCAGGCTCATGAACTGGGTAATCACTGAAAAGTAGAGTTTCACTGGGAAGGACTGAGATTTGTGTTCTGGAGGTGTATTTAACTGGCAGAAATTGTTAGATTGTTCATTTTTACACATCCAGGAGAAGCTACCTTTTTCATTTAGAAAAAATAGGAGGAAAAAGAACAGGGCTGGGGGGGAAATAAACAACAACTTTAGCACTTAATTATCAAGAGTAGTTTAGAACAGGCTGATTAACCTCTCCTCAAATACCATCACTCTTAGCATGCTTCAAAAGAAAACCTTCTGTATTCTGTTGAAGTCACGCACAGCTTCCTCTATGCAGTTCTTGATTTACTAATAGTATGAGGAAGAAACCACCTTCCTTTTAATCTTTTGGTTACCCACCACATCTAGAAGCCTTTGGCAAGTTTCTATATTTAAAGATTAGACGTGCCAAAGACAGATTAGTACCATTCTCTTCAAAAACATTCAGGCACATGTTTAGGTAGCTGAAGCACTGAACTCCAAGAGCACTTCAGAATAGCATTAGCTTTACAATTATTTTTTCCTAGTTATCAATACAAAAAAGTGTACAGCTTATACGCTGTTTTTAGAAAAACTTACACTGACAGAGTTGCTCTCTACTAAGATGTAAAAGTTTTCATCCAAAGTAAAATTAAGTGTGAAGTCTCCATCTCAAACTTGATTATTTTTTGCTTCCTTTCCCCTTCCAAATGACCTTAGATACATCCAGAAATATGTAGAATACACTTCATGACACTTAGTATGTGATTTATTATATGATCATTTGTACTATTTTCAGGTCATTTGGGAGAAGTACTATAACAGAACTTCCCTTCCTTTCACTATGAAACAATGGTAAGAACCTCCTTAAGTAGACTCAACACTTCGTAACAAAGTCATCCTGGTTCAACTAAAAACTCCCTATAAACACCTCAGCACAGGAATAGTTAAAGTTGCATGCAATTTGGGCTTCTGGTATTGGACTTCAGTCAAAAGAATAGTCCTCTACCCATCTCGCTGTTCAGCCTTACAAAGCAGTGCTGCAATGGAGAATTTCTTCATACACACACATGCGTCCTGTAAGCACTTTCAATACTTACCTTTAAGCCATCTAACTTGTGCTATCAAATCTCATAAAACAGACAGAAAAAAAAACTAGATAATTTTTAAATACAAACGCATATAACCTTTTTACAGAGAATACATTAGCCTTCTTAGAAATACTATAGGTTAGATAACATTTTTGCTACCAACAAAACAAAAAACCCTACTCACTTCTCCTGCCTTATGATTTACCAGTTAAAGTGGGTTGTGTTTTGTTGTTTTTGTTGTTGTTTATTAAATCCCATAGCATTGTTCAGAATAGGCAGCCACAAGTATCCTTAGGCAATTCTTTTCATACATTCCTATTGAGAAATTCATACCCGAACTTTACAGTTTCTATCATGTTGAAACAGACTACCCAAGATTGGAAAATATATAGATTATAAAATATGTAGGATAGATGCTATACCTTTAAATAAATACAGATAAACTATGCAACCATAAGTTCACTGTGCAATCAATTTTGCTACTCAAACAAAATTGAAATAATTGGAAAAAAAAAATAAAGCAAATATTTGTAAGAATACTGAAGAGGAATATTGCCAAGAGCAAAGCTACTGGCACTAGGAAGTGACAAAAAGGTTTATTGGTGTACTCTAAAGTGAAATGCCAAAATTCAAAAGAAACTCATGGATTTCCACAAGGTGGTGCCCCAAGCGCAGGCAGCTGTTCACATTTGTTGCTCCTATTTCCAGGCTTGGAAACAAAGTTAAAAATCTACTCAATTACAAATCTCACTAACACAGCAGAATCTAGGGAACTACTATTTGAAACTATCTTAACACTTTCACCACTTTGTCTAAGTTAATTCAAATGGTCCTCAAAACCACAGCACTATTCCTTTCACTTCAAAATTAGTCAGCTACTATGCACAAATCCCTCTATAACCACATGGATTTACAGCCTCAGTTCCATGCATAGTCAGGCTATTTCCTATAGTCATGTTCACACTGAAGTGGAGGAAAACAAGGCTGCAAGCGTGCAGGGTAGGAAGTGTGGCTCTTAATTTAACTGCCCATTCTCATATTTTACTTACTCTCCACTCCTGCAGTACTCCTGTCCAATCTTCCGCCCTCACAGCTCCAATCCAGCTGATTTTGCAATCCACAGCTATCTATAGTTTTGCTCAAGACCAATTCTCATACCTAGCCAACCTGCCAGGCTTCCCCATCATTGATACTTAATAAGGTCGAGGGCATAAGCATTAGCTTTAAAAGTCATATTACCCATCAATTAACTAATAGATAAATACAGCATTTTAGTCTCTTTTAATAATTTTTAATTGAGTATAGGTAAGTAACATAGATGTCTCCAAAAACACATTCCAAAAGCATATGTACTATTGTAATCAGACAGTAAATGGCTAGCTACCTAAGTCTATAAACATTTCTCATTTTATTTCACTCGAAAGATTAGAACATATCTAAAACTTTTGAAAGCATCACTAGAACATCCCCATCTTCCTAGTAATAATTTCTTCATAATTTTTCCCCTAAAGAAATTGCTGAAGTTAAATAAAAAGCAGCATTACACATTACAGAGTAACAGCTCAGTAGTAACTCCTTGCAACTGTTCTAAAAGATGTGCCTTTTTTACACTGAAATGCATTAAATAGACATAATAAACTATTTCTATAATGTCGCATTTAAGTTATGATTTTTTTCCAGTCTAACAGTAAATCTCATCTCCACCTTCCAAGATGAGATACAAGTGTTTTCAGAGCTTTAGTAGAAGATGTGTAGAACAAACTGCTATATTGCCTGTAAGGGATCTGGTAAACAGCTGCAATAGGCTGTAGTTCCAAAAAGTTGCATTTCATACACCTGAAATGCTCAGGGCTTCAGACAAGTACTTAGATACCACTTACTTAAAAGAATATGAGTGTATTCACATCAACACTGCCAGTGCAGAGTTTATTCAGCAAGTGAAAACTGCTGAAACTGCTTCCCTCCCTATACTACCCAAAACACACAGTACATACACAAACACAGTACATAGAGCTGCTGAAGGTTATTTTCCTGCTCTATCTGCACATAAACCCACACCTTTCAATAACATCCTGTAGTTCCAAACTAAGGACAATACCCTTCTATTTTGCAAGCAGCAAGTTTAAGCATGTTAGGAAAAAAAGATAATAAAATATAGGTACACAGAAGAAATGTTAACATGGAAGAGACGGACTTAAATGAGAAGCTAGGTAAAGGCATTATGAATCAATTCTCAAACTTGAGTATTCAGAGTGACACAATTTGTAATGGCAGGACTCTTCAGCATTAGGAGCTACCAAAGGTTTTGTGTGTCATTTCTTGTTAGTATTTCTTTGGTAGTGGTGGGGTTTTGGGTTGTGGTTTTTTTGTTGTTGTTGAGTTTTTGGCTTGGTGTGTTTTACTGTGTGTTTGTTTTGGTTTAACTAATAACTTAGATCTATCCAGGGTTATGAATTTCATCTATTAATAGGAACAGACCAAAATATCACTTAGTCCAATCTGTGTAATTTTAAGAATGCAAATCACAATGAACAAGCATTTGGAAGGACAGCACAGAGATCATGTCATGACGAGGAAAAATAAACATGAGTGAGTGAAAAAGATGAGATGATGTGCTGCCAGGCTCCTTACCCATTGCTGCTGCTGCTGCTGGAGCTCCCTGATGGTATTCTCAGCTTGCTCCAGTTTAGTAATGGCCTCATCACTCTGCTGTTTGATGGTGGCCAGCTCCCGTTTTATGAGGTAGTTTTCCTCAGCCTCCTGGGCCCTTGTCACTTGTCCCTTAGGACATAATTATTTTTTTTTAAGCAATTGAGGACAAATCCAAGAAAGACTGTTTTTGTGATGCTTAGCTGCTTATTTCATCAGATTGGTTTTGCAAACAGCATAGAGTACAATTGGTAGAAATTTTAGGACAAGGTAGTACTAAACAGCTGCTTTAGTACTTCATTACAATGTTCAGCATCTGTTTAGCAAGCACAATTGTGTACTTGCATTCAGTAAAATTCCTTTCATGCAATATTACTCAGTTGTACATGCACAGATTTAAGTTCGCAATATTCAATTTCAGTGTTAATACAGTGTCACAGAATCCATTTGTCATAGGAATTTGTACTGAAAGATTACATTAGGTTAGGAAAATTATTATAACGTGCAGGTATTGGTTTATGTATTTTTAGTAAACAAAATTAAACAAGTTTCTAGCACGAGATTAGCTCTACATTTATTCCAAATCAGCAAAGCAGGGATAGAGTACAGCATGCAAATATGCATGCATTAAAGCAGTTTGGGGTTTTTTGAGAGGAGGAAGGAAGTCATACAGTAAAAGACTGAAAGACTATACCTGTATCAATCTATCTGCCAAGGAAGCACTTTCCTACAAAGGAAAAATTCAGATAGGAATAAGGAAAAGAAAAACCAAAAAACAAAGGGGTGATAATAGTGACAAGAAAGACAAGAGTCGAGAGAAAGAAAATGCCCAAATTCTGCCCATTTTCTGTACAAACTCTTTTTGCAAAATTAACAACTCTTCATATAAATTAGGGCAGCTCAAAGTCCCAGGAAGCAGCCTTTTCTGCAATAGATTTAACACAGTCCATCTTTGATACAAGAAGGTCTCAAAGCTAGATTTCTGTAACACTTAAAATTCATCTACAGGAGACTGGGTATTTTTATCTAGTAGATAGATACAAGATGTGGCCTATGGTCTGTCCACAATATGCAAGAAAGGTGTAATTTGAGCACAAAGGAAACTCTGCTAAGCACTGAGGCATCCATGCAGAACTACAGCTTCCAAAAAGATGAAGCAGGAAGGTTAAATGGTGCAAACTGACAGACACAAGTAGAAAATTTCAACTATGACAGCCAATATTTTGTTTTACTCAACTCCTGCCGTAACTCAATTGAGCAGTTCATAGATTCTATTTCCTTACCAAACTTTTGCAAGAAAGAAATTTTCATTTATGCACACTGACAAGCACACACCCTGTCCCTGCCAGTTGCACATTTAATTTCTACTCTATCACCCTAGAAAGCACTCAATTTTTGTAGATTCTACAACAGATAACACATCTATTCACAGACCATCATTGTCCTTGCAACTTTTACTAAAATTAAAATTCAAACTGGTTGATGAGAGCTATCACTTAGAAGTTAGGGTAAGAAGTTTGTCATTAAGGTACACTAAGGAAATCACGATTAAATCATATAGGTTAGGATGAGGAAAAAATATTTTTAAGTAAAAATAAGTTTCCAACAAAAGAACTGAGTGTGTTTGTTCACACTTTATGATCTGTTTTTCAGATGCTGTGATGATAATAATCTTCAGAAATTCTTAATAGGTAATATTTTCCCATTTTTAAATGTTCCAATTCCAGTCAGAATAGGATACTCTGAAAGTGAATTCTGAAATTTTAAGTACAGAATTTTCTAAAGCATTAGCATCTGGCAGTTCATCATGGGCTTCCTAATAAATAAAAAAAATCTGATTTCAAACCTCTCCAAGTTAAGTATAAAACAGGGATATTTACTATTTTAAATTTCCCAAAGAACACTGAAGTGATTCACTACAGTTTTAAACTTCTTAAAGAGAGTCTGCTCTTTTCATTTAATTTTATCAGCACTTCAATATTAGAAACAAAGACGTTTATAAAATTGTATTTTTGGTCACAATTTTCACAATATGTCCTCATTATGTACATTTTTTCCAAACTACATTCAGAAATTAATTAATTAGAATTTGACACAGATTGACTGTTTTTCCAAGAAACTGTAATGGATTTAACACCTGAAGAGTGACATCTTTCAATTTTGTCACTCTAAATTGAAACTTTACCATTTTCTTCTCTGTGAAACGTGAAGAACTGTTTGCAACTCACAAGAGCATTCAATTTCATTTGTTGAAAGATAGTTGCCATAGGTGGTTAACATGGACAAGAATGTTCCCATTCTAGAGCAGCCCAGCCCCAGTGCACTGTCACAGGAAGCAGGATACCAAAATATAAGAGAGGCCATTGGAGAATAACACATGCATATTGGCAATGTGTCAACAAGAGCTATCATGCATACTTTTAAAGCTATATCCAGTTACAAGAAGTCTAACAAAACTCTATTCCAGACTAAATCTGTGAGAAATAAGTCTTAAAATATATTCTGCCTCCCACATACACAAAATTGCTACAAAAATTCAAAACCATGTAAAACAAATTAGTGGCAGCAGACTTCCTGTAATGAATTGGGGCCAGTCCTGTTTAACATCTTCA